TGGGACGCATTAAAAAATTGTTGAGTGTTTTACCGACTATTTCAACTGTTGCAAATAAACAAATAGTCTCTCTAGGGGATTGAATGACTAGGGGATACTCTATAACTTCAAACGCATTAAATAACATATAATACATCCTTGATTTGTGTATACAATTCCAGAAGTTCCAATCAAATAAGTGAATTTCACAAATAGCTTAATTTCAATATAAATTTCGTCAATTGCTTGGCAATTTGGTAAGTTATCTCTAGCAATTGTAGATTCTAAGAAAGGACCGACATTTCCAGATCGACTCGAAAATTGATTCTGACCAAGAAGATATACTTATCGTAAGCACAATACTAAGTATTATACCCTTTTTAACCATTTTAAATAGTTTCAGGGTATAAAAAGATCATTTGTCTGTTAATGCCTCTTTCAGAAAATGGAAAACAAATAAATTGACAACTGTATGCTAACGAGTCAAGAATTAAAATGATTCATTTTACAGACAATCATAATAGCAGCTGCTTAACATAAGTACAATAGCTACTTTGATAGTCGAACATGCGATTTAAATGATCAGTCATTTTTCTTAACAACAGTTTCACATCTCTGAGTGCACAGCTGCAAAGCTAATGATATAAAAAGTTAAGAAAAATGGTTGGAATACTGTGAGTATTTCCATGGTACTCAAGTGGATTTAGTGTGGCTGAGAAGTTCACTAATATATGTATACTTGTTTTTTTTTTCTTTTTTTTTTAATCCATTTAATAAGTTTGCATAAATTAAAAGATATGAAATGTATTTATTAATTATTTTTTGTTTAAGTTTTTCTCTCAGTGCACAAGCAATCTATTGAAAAACTTGACTATGAATTTGTAATTTTAAAACACATACCAACAGTTAAACAAGTGCTGCAGAACCGGTTCCAGAATTACTCAAAATAATATTTTGTAACACTTATTTTCGGCTTGTTTATAAAAATGACACATTAGATATTTTTCACTCAAAACACAGCTTAAAGTGCAAAGCGCAGTCGCCGTTACGCTCAAAAAACTATGCATAAGATAATCAACATATAAAATAAAATTATAATGCTAATAGTTGTTTTTATAAAACTGATTCAAAACATAGAAGAAAAGCAAAACAAATGTGTGAAAACCGGCTCGACATATTATTGTGCCCTCACACTATTTTCCACTCAAGTCTCAACTCTCAGAGTGAGCAGCGCAGTCGCTGTTGCGCTTAGAGAACTGAGTGATATGAATATGAGGGATGGTGATTGCGAGTGAGGCTGATGGCTTGGCCAGACGTCTGAACGGGGCAACAGAATCGTGAGCTAGTCAGACGTGCAACAGACATTGTCAGCATAGGTTGAGAACTGTAGAGAAGCTCCGGTAAAAATATCAAATCAAGTTATATCGAGTAAAATGGTGTCCAACGTGAAATGCAGTTTGACCGTGGCCGTTATGATTAGTCTGGCCTGTTCGGGTGTGTATTTTATGATTTTAAGATTTCGGAAACGCATTCGAGAAGGAAAAACCTGTTTGAACTAATAAACTCTGATGCTAACTTCCAGCCTATGCCATCAAGTGCTACCAATGCGAGTCGCTGACAACACCCAAATGCGGCCTCAAGTTCGAGGAGGATGAAACTCTGTTAATGGATTGTGCCCGAATCGGTCCACCGCGCTATCTGCAGAACTTCTTCCCACTGCGCAACGCAACCGGCTGCATGAAGAAGACGCTCGAGAGTGGTAAGTTTTGACATATTCACAGATTCGCCAATCTGCCTCTAATGGATGAGGCAGCTCCCATGCGAGCAATGCGACTCGTATTATGCTACGACGATTATGATGTCATTTTATGTACATGAATAGTTTTTTTTTTTTTTTGGTTGTCGTGTTTTGTTCGGGCTGTGTTTTGCGCTGTTGTTGGATTTGGGTGCGTATTTCTGGCCATTGTCGCGTTTTCTGGTTTCGTGTAATTTCGTATAATTTTGAGATTAGTGTCAGAGAGCGTGTAGAAATAATTATGACGTGATTGTTGTTGGAAATGAGCGTGAAATTTGGATATTAAAAAACAATATTGTAATATTTCATTTCAGCTGAATTGAGCTCGACAAGATTTTTCTATTTTCCATATTTTCTTGGAGTAATTTTTCGTGTTTCTTATTTACTTTAAAAGAGAAAACTTATAAAATTTACATATCAATGAAATTAACATAAACCTTTGTTTATTTTTCTGAACGAAGCAAATTAACATATTTATTCGTTATCCCTCTTTTGAATAAGACCTTAAGAATTCTTTAAGAAAAGAGTTGAATTTCAGACATGTCAAACTTAGTTTCCGGTTTTTTTTTATCGAAAGAGAAATTCTATATCTCATATTTGATATTGTAAATAAAAGTCAGTATTAGATATAGAGACAAATATAAGCAATTATTTTTCTGTTGCTTTTTTGTAATATAAGAACATATTGACATAGGTTTTAATATATCGTTTGCTCCCTTTTTATTAAAAAAATGAATATGTTCTTCTAACTGGGATAAAAGTTAATATAAATAACAAACGATTTTCTTACATTTTATGACGAACGGTTTGTTTTTCTTTAAGATTCATATATGTTTTAGAATTGATTTCCATAACAAGCGGCATTGCTGAGATCGTCAAAGCTTATCGTTAACCAACTCAACCGCAAAAATGTACAGACCAGCACAAAGGGCCCAAACGCAAACAACAAATCTGTTGACTCAAGTCATTGTTGACTGAAAAACGCGGCAGAGAGTAGTATATGTTCATATAGAAGAAAATTTTACAAACAGCTTGCTTTGTTACGAGCAGCCGGAAAACAATGCATTCATTGTAAACTCACAACTTTTTATTATTATTATTTTTTATGTTTAAAAAAAAACGTAAAAGTTATTTCTCACACTTCTTATATTCATTGTCACTTTTAGTTGTCGGCCACCCGCAGATCGTGCGTAGCTGTTACTTTGGCGACGTATCCAACATCCAGACTGGCTGTCAGTCGGATCCCTCGTTGCCCTTCGTCAAGCAGTTGGGCTGTGATGTGTGCACCAAGGATGAGTGCAACGGCTCCGCCTCCCTGGCCCCCATTGCTGGAGGTATTCTGCTGTTCTTCGGCGTGGCTCGCTTGTTGGCCTAGATCTCTAGTATTTGGCTTTAGTTCTTAATTTTTGGTTGTATTTAAGTATTTTTCTGTATCAACTGCAATTTTGAGTTTGCCCCATAGTTGTAAAATAATCTCGTTTAAATTTGTGCCTATCCCATTTGCAATTGCAAGCAATAAAATATTTATGTATCACTTAATCAATTATGTTGAACGTTTTCTTGAACTTTTTAGTAGCAAAATAAAATATAAAAATATTAATTTATAACATTAAGAGCAATCTCCAAATGAAAGAAGCATGTATGCATGTATTAAAACGAAAACAGAAACCTTCTCAATATTTAAGAGTTTAGAAAAGTACTTTTGATGGCCTAAAGGCTTGTTAATGAAACTTTCATAAATTACTTTGTTTCATCTTAAATGTGGAGTGGCATTTGAGCATCTACATCTTCATATTTAGTAGGAGAGAACTGCTTTTTAAAATTGTGTATATATTAAAATATAAGATATTTATTCTGTCTGTCCGTTCTTCCCTTCTTTATCTTTCGTATTATTATAAGTTATAATTTTAATAATTTTTCATATTCGCAAGATGCGTCAGAACTAAACTTATCATATGAATATTTCGAAGATATTTGTATAACCTACTGGACGCCAAGGAAAACAAGCTGGGCTTTTGCAATTTTTGTTTGGTTAATGAATGTAACGATATGTGGGCATGTGTAATAACTGAGTTCATAAGATCGATGATTCACTTACAATTGCATGTTCCATAAAAAATAACGCCCAAGCTCAACACCTGGAAATTCAAATGAGTCTGAGCAACAATAAAACAAGTGTTCGTAAGTGGCCCGAAAATGAAACAATTAAACTGAGAAAAGGTCATGCGATTCGTTGAACTCCCCAACCCGAACGCCCTCATATGCGTGGGGGTGCGGCTGCGGGTCTGGGTATGTAAATGTGTGTACGTGCGTGTGTGAGTCTGCATTATTAATTATGTTTAATTGAGTTAAATTTCAATGTGCAGGCCGAGTCGTAGTCAAGTTTGAAAAAGTATTAAGCGCGATTTACAATGCGCAGCGCATCGAAAATGTCAATAAACTGCAACCGAAACTCGTGCGAGTTGAGACAACTTCCTCCCCGCAGCTGCTGCCTCTCAATTGACCCAAGCTCATTTGGAATAATTTGAAAAAATTAACCAATTGAGGAAGCGTAGAAAATCATGTAAGTAATCAAGACCAAATGCAGCAGCTGCTTGGGAAAAAGCACTTAAAGAAATTCTGAGGATCCTAAGTGAAAATACAAATTTCGTTAATACACAAACAAACTAATAAAGTGATTACAATAGACAAATAGAGAATAATTATTGCAAGACTTTTCTTTTAGCAGGAAACGAGAAAATAACAATATATTTGGCACGCCAAAGATTTAATACCCTTGTACCCCCTCTTCAGATATGTGAGAATCGACATCTCATGAATGCTGAGCTTGATGAAAATATCTTCTTTATGACCGATTTAGTCCGATAGAATGAATCTAAGCTTTTGCATATACATGTGGATCAAAGTGAAACTAATAAATCCTAAATTATATCAGTCCCTATGGGAACTGTCTAAAAAAGGTATATCTTAAATGTTCAGCATTAAACTTGCAACGGGCAAGGCCGGAAAATAACTGCCAGCAGTTCAATAAAACTTAATCATTTGCTTCCTCAATAAATAACAATTTTCTTTATAATCATTAATAGACAACAGCTATATTCTATAATATTTAATTTAATGAAGTTAGCTTGAGATTATGATACGTATTTATAATTCCGAATCAATGATGATCCCTACACACACTACATAACTTACTGATAATGCTGAACAGAATGAGAAGCTTGTTCAATGTACAGCAGAACTTTTCAGAAGAGATTGATAGTTGCAGAGTAGCTCCGGTATAAATATCAAATCAAATTATATCAAGAAAATAGTTTCTGCCGTGAAATGCAGTTTGGCCGTGACGGTTATGATAAATCTGGCCTGTTCGGGTGTGTATTTTAAGACTTTATGTTGCCCGAAACGATATTGAGAAAATCCTGTTGTAACTAGTAAACTTTTGTGATAATTTAAAGCTATGGCATCAAGTGCTACGAATGCGATTCGGTTACTACACCCAAATGCGCCCTGAAGATTGAGGAGGGTGAGTCTTCGTTAACTGAGTGCAAATATATATATATATATGTCTTTTTATATGTGCCAACCAACCGGCTGCATGACGACTGAAGTCAAGAGCGGTAAGTTCTGAAATAGGCACATATATTAAAATATATACCAATCAATTAAATTGAGATTTAATTTTAAACGGCATAGGAGATTAATTGAGTGAGAGAATTCAAAATATTTAATATAAAGCTGCATTAATATTTTTCTGTCGCTTTCACTAAATAAAGCAACATAATGAGATGCAAAAATATAAACAAACTTATCACCACTTGTATAAAATTTAATATAAATAAAACAAAGTATCACTTAAATTTGTATGTCAAACGTTTCGTTTTTCTTTAAGATTCATAATTATTTTAGAATTGATTGCTAAAATCATCATGTCATGTGTTTTTCTTTTAAACAAAACGAGAAAGTTTCATTACATTGTCTTAAAAAAATAAAAAAATTGTCTTACCTAAAATATGTTATTCACGTTTTAAAGATTGACATTTGAGCATCTGCATAAACTTTAATAAGTATATCTAATATAATATAATAAACATACTATATATACTATATATATGCTCAATATGAGCTGATAGTTTACTAGATATATTTGCAGTCACGCTATATCTCGCATAAACAGATTTGTGTCTTAACCATCTAACGAAGCTTTCTTATAATAAGTAAACTATAGGCTGTCGCCGATTGGGCCTGATCAACAATATATTATATCTGGAATTCAAAGTAAATTTTTTAAAGCATTTCATTGAGAACTTCATTTATGTTCAGCTATACAGAAAGAAAGATGACAATTAATTTGTTTTTCTTTCTTAAGTTATGTTGAGTTGCCAAGAGCTATGAATAATCGCCTGTTTTTTATTTATACAGGTTATTTAGCTGAGGCTTGGAACATTTTCTTTGCCTCGCCTAGATCAACAACAGACATTTTTTATCAGCTGCGACAATTTCACGTGAGGCTTGCCAACCTAGTTTACAACAAACAGATGTTTCGATAAACTATGTTTACGCCCTCCAAGTGTTTGAATTTGAATGTTTGCCAAGATTAATGCTGATGCGATGCGAATCCTCCTGAATCCAACTAGTTGTTTGTAGTCAGTTTTCTCCAGTTAACTACGCAGTATGAAATAAAAGCACCAGTAATACATCCGCAACAAATACTAAATACTGAGCGCCGAAGTTAAAATACCCTTATAGGAAAAAATGAGATTCTCTATACAATATATAACATATATATCACATTCCCAGCCGGATAAAACTCTACCAAGCTACCAGCTATATTCAAGCCAAGGACTGCATCATTATTATTATATAAATTAAAAAAAAAAAAAATAAATAAAAACTTAATCAATTACAACTTAAATAGAAAACTTAATTTTCAGTTGAGGACTTTATTCAATTGCCTTCAGTTTAATCAAGTTAGCTTGTAATTATGTTAAGAATTTATATATTTGTATCGATAGATTGGGTTAGGTGATGCTCTCGCTCCATTGAGTTACACATTTCATAGCATAGTGATAATGCCCTCAATAAAAGTTTAGAAAATGAAAACAAAACCCGTTTGTACTATGGGCGTGAAATGCTGAATGGGTCGCATACAAATGAGATGCCGCATAATGAAGCATAGGCAACATGACATAAATCAGACTTATATAATACTTATGCTCACAAAATAGAAAATAAAAAAGCAATGACATTGCGTGTGCGTTTGCCTTTTTATCGTGTCCAAGAGAAAAAGTAAATAAATAAGACCGAATACGTCTGACATCACCCAAAACAAGTTCTCTAAATCGTAATATACTTATATATCGTGCATACATACATACATACATAAACAAAATTGCGGTCATATGCTTAGATGTTTGTGTGTCAAGCCAAAAATTCTAAACTCAAAATTGAATACAAAATAGCCGAAGCGCAGAGAAAAACACGCAAATGAAACGAGACTCACTCGAAAATGTGAATGAGCGTGAGTAACACAATGAGTGGCAGTATGAGTGCCGGTTTGCGTATGAGTGCGCGCCTGTTTGGCTAAGTTTTGAAATTGTTTCAAATCAGACGCAAAACAGTCGCCGCGCCGTTCAGATCTAACATATATAACTCAGTTCGTTTCCTTAAAGCCAATTTATTTCATTTCGATTGCTACAAAATGGTTTCCAAAATGGGGCGTGTTCTGGCTGTGGCCATTCTGGCCGCCCTGGCCTGCACGGGTATGCACAGTCTGCGTGATAAGTAAAGCAGCACCCGACACAGTCAATTCCCTTTTCAGGCTATGCCATCAAGTGCTATCAGTGCGAATCTGTCAGTAGTCCCAAGTGTGGCGAGAAGTTTGAGGCTGATGACAGCCTACTTTTGGACTGTGCCCGCATTGCCCCGCCGCGTTTCCTGCAGACCTTCTTACCCGTACGCAATGCCACCGGCTGCATGAAGAAGACCATCGATGGCGGTAAGTTTTCTGCTAATTGCCTAACTAGTTACTCCGCCGTAGCTGATAACATGATGTCATAAGCGTCAAGTTGTACATTCAATTAGCTTGATTAGTTTTAATCGTGCTGCTCAAGCTGGGCGTAGGCGTCAGCATCGGCGTCGGCGTCCGTCATTTGTGCGTACAATTAACCAACTAGGCGTATGCGCAATGAGAAAATACTTTAATTGCATTTCAGACAACGTATTTTTCGTATTTTTAGAAACGAGCTTCACAAGTTTCTCATAATTTACCATTAAAAAAATTATTCTTTTCATATTTATATAAAAGTGATCTAATGTTTTATAAGACAACATCCCATTGAGTTTCTCTTAATTAGTATGCATATTTGTATATTTATATATATATTTAGTATGTCAAAACAATTTTTATTTTGAAATGTGGGAACAGATATACGGATCGTGCTATTTAAACTGTTGAGCTCAGCTTATTGTTTTGCACTTTAAAGCAATTACCGCATTCGTGCTTGGCATGCAAAGCTGTTAGGTTTTATTTGACGAGCTCTGGGCTCTTTGCAATCTCCAGCGAAAAGAACATATATTGAGTTTTGTTATTCATTACAAATCGAATGGATGTAGTTAACAGAAGCTTTTAAGTGGTGATCCAAATTAAATGGATTTTAATTAGAAATTTAATTTTCTTATATACAATTGTGTAATTGGAGTCATCGTAGATGTATAAGTTGAATCATTAGCCCAAATGTTCTTCGAGCGTGCATATATATTCATTTTGTTCAAGGCAAGGAAGTATTGCTTAAAATGACATCAGCATTATTTTTATAAATGGGCAATTTTTTTTATTTTTGCGATTTTTTCTGCTTGTTTTGTTAGAACAAAGCTGAATACCTGAAGTCAATAAACAAAGATCCATACTGTAAATAGTTTATTCACAATATATATCAGTGTCATAGCTTAGAAACTCTACAACTTTTGTATATTTAGAACATTTTCTCTGGACGACTCACTCGTACCCAAAAGAACAAAGCCCAATGTAGATTTCAACAGCTAGAGTGTACACAAATGTAAAACTTTTAAATATTTCGGTTTTTAGCCAGCCTTGATGTCGTATCGAATACTAACTTTAAGTAAATAATTTATATGAAATTTACTTTCGTATTGAACTGTAGCTGTTGATAAGCTAAACATTTAAGAAGAGTATAGAAAACTGCAAAGCATCAATCAAAATTTGAGCTGAGCGTGCTTCAGCGGCAATCAAGCTGGCTGTCAGGTTGTCATCCACGAATTAGTCACAGCTATTTTGAATGTACCTTTTTTTTATAGTATAGTATATGATTAGGTTTACAGTCATTAGAGTTTTATGGAAACTGCGCATTATGTAGGCAGATTTGCCAATTAAGAAAATTAGTTCTGCCTGTGGAAAGCTACCAGAACAAAATGTGAATAGAATTCGAATAACAGTTAATCGACGTTAAAACAATGACAGACCTTGAAAACAATCAGCAACAAAGCCGCAAAACTCACAGGGCCCCTCAACCTGGCAATGTCAACGCCTCTGATTAGCAGTTGTTAGCTTCCATATGAAAAATATGCAACAAATGACGACGCAGTGCATCCAAAATTAGCAATTACCTGACAATGAGAATTTCTTCAAATATTGCATTCAACTAATTAACAATACGAATTTCGCCGCCGTTTCAGTGCCCGGCCATCCGCAGGTCGTGCGCAGCTGCTACTTTGGCGACGTATCCAATACCCAGACTGGCTGTCAGTCGGATCCCTCCATGCCCTTCGTCAAGCAGCTCAGCTGCGAAGTGTGCACCAAGGATGAGTGCAACGGCTCCGCCTCCCTGGCCCCCATTGCTGGAGCTATCCTGCTGTTCTTTGGCGTCGCCCGCTTGTTGGCCTAAATATAACTGGAGCATTCAGCTTCCAATCCCGAATCGGAAACTTAACATTCAACATGTCTCTTATGTATCATGAAATTTTGTATATCATTATTGAAATTTTAAGTTAAATCACAAAAGGAAACGTATTTTAAAGTGAATTAAAACAGCTTTTATACCAAATTAAATTTCAGTTTTTTTTTATGAATTAAACAAAAGTATGAATTTACAGTTATTTATATATATTTTTCTAGCGGGAAACCGAGTTCCCAGGCCGAATTATAAATGATTTACCCATATTGTTTAAAACTGTTTAGAAATCCTCTTCATTGATTACTTTGGTAAGTATTATTTGAGTGTTCCTATTCGATAAAATTGTACATATGAAAATAAGCATGTTGAGATGATTAACATGACAATTAAACAGCCTGTATTTACAGAACAGCCAATTATTTATTAAGCCAATTCTCTTTGTGTATCCAATAAATTTGCAATCTACAAAAATTGAATCAATCTAATTATCTTTACAAGCTTACATACAATCCAAGCATAGGAGTAAAATCCAACCGTATAGAACTACGGTGTCAATATATCTATATCTGTGATATCTTTTCGACCCATAATTTTTGAGTAGCTTTTATAGCAGCAATCGATCGGACATCAAGTTTTTCTATTGATACACTTCCATGCCACATGCCGCACACATGTGTTATTTAATTTTCCATTATAAGGAAAACTGTATACTACTTATAAATCAGGCCGTCACTTCATCCGCGAAATTCCGATCAAATATTTTTCTAAATCTTCCAATATTTCAAAAGACGGAAAAAACCGTATATATTTTAATCTGTACGTATATTTACTTTGAAAGGTTATATGTTCTTAACATATACAATTGCAGCTGCGGCTGCGCTGCTTTTGCCTTTGCCCCATACTATGGAACATGTTTTTGTTCGATTATTATATAATATTTAGGGCGTAATATGTATTTATTTAAAAAAAGGGGAACTGCATTCATGAATTCTCCGCATTTTTTTCAAAAACCCAAAAGTTTTTCCACAAATTACTGTCGCTTCACTAAAAAATCGTTTATCTATTAAACCTCTTCCTCCTTTAACAGCGACGATGTAATCAGTAAGGGAAATGCATTGAAAATGTGTCCACAGTAAAAGCTGTCCTTGCATGCAAGGCCGTAATTAAAGCTCCTGCCCACACTCCCCCTACTCACATAACACTAACACACGTAGCTACACATACACACACACGCACACCGAAGCACACAAACCCACACTGTCAAGTTGTTTGTGCTCTTTGGCAACTTTGTTAGCTCTCTTTGCTGTTATTAAAAAGGGGCTAAGAGGCAACTGAAATCGCGTGGCGTCTTCCTCCATATGTGTGCTATTAATTCTACCTAGAATATACATATATATTATTTATTTGACGGTGTGTGTCTGAGGGGAATTCATTAAAATTAGACATTTTCGATAGGTGTCCCGCGAGCGCTGGCCAGCAAGTTGCCCAGACCCGAAGACAGGAGCAAGCGAGCGAAAGAGTGAGGCGGAAAGGAGTGAGACAGAGGTATATAGAAAGAGAGCTAGGGAGAGTGAGAGCCCAGAAGTGGAATTTGGAAACGCTTTGGCATTTTTCAGTATAATTTCGAACGCGGCCGTCGACTGACTGACGGCTGAGGCGTTTTCTGCTTTATAAACAGAACACACCGGAAAATAACAACAACAACGACAGATACAAATCTCTAAAGCGACGACAGAGCGGGCGACTGTTGTTAGACATCGGTGCGGAAATCTAAGCAAAATATAGCCATAGAACGCAAGAAAGACGCGAGTTTACAGTGCCGAAAACAAAAAAATAATAAAAATATAAGAAATATGCAAAGATACGAGTAATTTATAGAAATATATATTTGTAAATGCCCCAACTTAGACGCAAGCAAACACTTTCAAACCAAATTGTTTCGTTTCAATTGCTTCCCGAGAGCCGAGTGAAAAAGTTAAAAATAAAAAAAAGAAAATACAAATCATGAAAGCATCATAAGAAATTTCCATAAAGCACCAAACGCCAATGCGGCAATTAAAATAAGTTATAAAGATTTTCCATATATAACATAAAAATCCAAATAAATCCAAACAATTTCTATAAATGCTCTAAATTATATACAGCCGGTTGTGGAAAGTGCTTGGATTTTCCTTTGTTTTTCTTCAAGACGAAAACATCAGTTAAATGCAGTATTTACTTTGCTTTGGCGCCCTCCTCACGCTGCTGGCCACAGGTTCGCTTCTGACCATTTTGTCTTTAGCCATTAAACTCAACAACATAAATATATATATATATATCTATATGTATATTCAATGCCAACAGCTTACGCCATCAGATGCTACTCATGTGAGTCCGTATACGAGACGAGCTGCGGCGAAAATTTCGAAATCGAGAATCATTTCAAGTACGATTGCGCCTTTATTGCCCCGGCCCGTTTTTTGGAAAACGAGCTGTCCAACAAGAATGCGACAGCGTGCCTGAAGCGAGTTTTTCGCGGTAAGTACTTGCCAGCCAACCAACTCGCAAATATATTCATGAATGAAAATGATTCAGACGGAAAAGTATGCGGTCTTTTATAAGATGACCTCAATACATGAAAATCAAATAAATTTCTGACGCGACCCTTAACGGCAAATTAGGATATACCACGGCGGGGGAGTTGAAGAGAGAAAGAGGGCGCCTCAGTGGAATAAAGAATGTATCTTTGAGATCAACATGTGTATCTTTGGGTCACAGATTACGGGTTAAGATACAAGCTTTATATAAATAAATCATGCACATAAGATACAAATGTTTCCCGCTTGAAAATTTGTTTGTATTGTTAGTGTCTTTTCTGTATAAGTACGAAAGTCAAAAGTATTTTTAAGTTAGGAAAAACTCCGTGCTACACGAGTGCATCTTTGTTAATGCATAATGTATCTGGCAGTTTGGTAGGCAGCATGGTCTGCAGTTATTATCAAAGTACGAACTTAGAAATACGCACACTGAAATAAGTTTTAATTTCATTAACCAATACATTCATATATAAAACAAAATGTTTTGAACTAAGTTCTTACTTGAATCTGAGAAGATTGTTATATTATTATATCATAATAGATAGAAATGACTTATGCTTTTCGGCCACCAAAACTATGGGTTTTTATGTGCCACCGCCTAAAAGTATGCCCAAGTTTGTTAAAATTTAATGTTTGAATTGATTTTTTGAACCGAACACAGAAAATGGCGTCAACAAATTCGTGCGCGGCTGCTACTTTGGCGAGGTGAACGAGACGGAGATTGGCTGCAAGCTGGACCCCACGCTGATCGCCGTGCAGAATGCCAGCTGCTACGTGTGCGACAACGAGAACTACTGCAATGGAGCGGAGCATCCTCAGGTGGATCTGTGGCAGCTGCCCGCATTGATGTTGTATCTGCTGTTAGCGCGATGGCTGCAGGGTGGCCAACGGGACGTATGAGGCATGTTTAAGGCATTAGACATAAGTTGTTGTTGTTCTTAGTTTGTTGTTATATATGGCCATGGCCAAGAAAGCCGAGTAAGCGCCAAAGGCCAGCTAATAAAATCGAAATTATTATAGAATAAAGCGAAAATTGTTTATTTGTGCGCGCAATGAACTCTCGGGGCAGAGGCGTCTGGGGCATGAACAAGGGCGCGCCGCCCACACACACACACACACACACACACACACACACACATAGCATACACACACTCATGCAGGCACACACAATAGCGACGTGTATTTTGCACCATTCCATGTTTCATGTCAACGAACATTTATTTTCGGCTATCAAAATGCCGCTCATACCATTTCCATTTTCATTTCCATATCGTATATGTGTGGCCTGTACTAGACGCGGTCAGCCAAATGAAAACCAAATGTGTTATATGGAAAATAACAAAAAGAAGAAAATAGCGCAAAAAAAAAAACGGAATACAAAACTCATCATTCAGAATGCGATTGGCGTTGGCTCAGTCTCGCGTGTGCAGCTCGTCCGGCTGGTTCGGCCATGTGACGCTCTGGGCGCGATCAACTGGCCAATCTGTGCACTCATAATATACAAGCTATCCGTCATTTATATTCCTACCTGCGCACTACATACACACTCGCAAACATACACACACGGATAGACAACAGTTGGGCATGTTGGGGCGCCGGGTGTTGACGTTGGGGCTGCTGCTCGTTTCACTGGCCGCTACAGGTGAGCGCATCGAACGTGTCATACATTGTTGACACACATATTAAGCACACATTTATCACACACACACACACACGTACTCACATCTTGTCATCGACACACAGCTCTGGCCGTTAGCTGCTATGAATGCGATTCCGTCAACGATTCGAATTGCGGCGATGATTTTCAGCCCGATGACATTGCCAAAACCGACTGCGATTCCATGGAGCTGCCAGAGCATTTGCGTGCTTTCTATTTGCAGCGACCCGACACTGCGTGCCTGACCAAGTACTACAGGGGCTGTAAGTATGCCAAGCTTTAGTTGGTTCCTCTAAATATGATTCCAAGCCGACTGCTTAACCAACAAATTGATTACTGATACTAGCTCATTTTCCAGAGAAGTTTCCACCTGAAAAAGAGGAAATTTATCTCATTAATGCTTATCTAAATCTGTTTAAAACTAATTTTTAATGTATGGGAAAATGTTTTTAACAGATATTTCGATTTGCTTGATTGCTTTAAATTTCATTCTTAAAATTTCTTTAAATAGTAACTAAAAACAAATATTGTGAATTGTATGAGTAATACGTAAGGCCCAAACAACGCCGGGTAGTATCAGCTAATGTACTTATATGTGTATATTCTCTTTTTTTTTTGTAGCTCTTGATGAAGCGTTATTTGTGCGACGTTCCTGCGCTTTCGGCGATTTGTCTGTGTGCGATGAGCAGCCGGATCCGGTAATGCCGCAGCTCGGTTTCTTGGGTTGTGTTTTCTGCCACAAGGATTTCTGTAATCGGAGTACGCATCTGGTACAGGTCCACAGCACGGTTTTGAGCGTGATGCTAATTTTAGTCTACTTATTCAACAATTAAATGCATTGAGAATCGAATAGAAAGGTCTTAACTGAAAGTAACATATTTGATATTTTTGCAACATTTTACATTTTATTTGATTTAGCTTCGTTTTGTTTTTATACATCCACTAAAATGATTTAACATACATATATATATTTATAATAATAATGCATTATTTCGTTTGAAATATATAATATATAATCGGGTATATCTTTCACTTGTATTCGTTTATTACTGTATGTGTGTGTATTTGTAATTCATAAAATAAAATAATAATAGAAAATAAATAAACAACACGCTCTATAATTCAAATAGCGAACAACGCATAGTTTAAATATGTACGTATATATCTATATTATTCATTGTAATATTTCAGTTTGTATAATATATAACTTCAGTTGCAGCTTATCATTGTTTATATATATATATATATATATATGTATGTATATATATGTATAACACACTTAGATGTCTCTCTATAATGGTCGGTTATTGTACAAATTAAATGATCGAAACCTAACAACGACTACACATAGAGAACAATTCATATAATTATATAGAAAAACAGTGTAAACAATTGTATATATACAGAAGATAATGAATTAGTTGACTCTTTGTTGCCCTTTGCCAAATACTGTTCAGATTAATATGAGCGCACCCGCAACCGCTCCCCTCAGCCTCAGACCAATAATTATCTGAGAATTTGTATCAATAGTCAACCAAGTAAATTAAAAACTTTTATCAACAGCGCAGAAACAAGTAACAAATATATTTATACATATTTTTTTAACTTCATATTTTTTTTCTTTGAGTTAATCAAACTTTTCAGCTAGGCTATTATGGGTATGAACTATAGCATATGCCATATTTAATGCTGTTTACATACACAATTCTTTCAACAACACAGAGAGTTTAATTAATTAATAACTAAAAATATAATTTACACATAATTCATTATATATATATATTTTCTTTTAACCAGCCACAAACATTTTACAAATTTGCTGTCATGCCTTGCCACATGTGGGTGTGCGAGTGTTGCAAATGAGTGAGGTGTGTGTGTGTGATTTTTTTTTATTTTGGAGTCCAGCTCCGAAATGTGTTGATTCATTTGTTCATAGAGTATTGATCTATGCGCTTGATCTAAACTAAAATTGAGTGGCGCACAGAACATTGAGTCGGCGTAGCAGCAACAGCAAATCGCATTCTTTTTTGGCATAATTTTCATTAATGTATTGTTAATTGTTGTAATATTTTCTATATAAGTTTTGTATTCGTTGTGATTGTAACAATTCGCTTGAGTAGTGCAAAGAGCAGTCGCTAAAGTGGGCGTGCGCAAGCGCCTACCAAAGAAAAAAAATGAATGTTGTGCACAACATGTTTGAAAATTTTCTTGTTTTCTCTTGACTAGAAAATTTAAAAGACAAATAAGTTTTTGTATAGAAACAAAATATTTCAAAATTGTTGTCTGTGAGTAAGTTTATAAAAATAAAAAAGAGTGTAGCTTGAGCAATGCACAAATGGAATGAGTCTTAACTGAACATTGAATTTGTTGTAAACTTTGGATACGGATCATAAATGAGATCAATATGTGACATGTGTGCACACCCCCCCGACCCTTAAATCACCACTTTATCGTTTATTCCGCCCTGCACGCCCAAATAGCTTTAGTGTGGCTTCTAATCGTAGCTATAGCATACGTTTATATAACTATTACACTGCACTGCAAGTTTTGTGTTGTGTTTTAGCTTTGAATTCATGCTGCAAATTTCAATTTTATATGGATTATATATATATATATATATATATATATGTAAATATAGGTAGTTTATATATATATAAAGAAACTAGAAATAGTAAGAAAATAAGAAGTTTCCAATGCAATTTACAAAGTATATAATTTATACACATATGTAATAATAATATTAATAACATTTATAACGAATTCAGTCAAGTCAGTAAATTTGGTTTACAGAAAGCAGAAAAATAATAATAAAAGTAAACATACAAATTACTTTAGGCATAATCATAATAATAATAATAATAATAATAATAATAATAGTTATTATCAAAATGTGCAGACAAATTTAACATGACAATTGATTTTTTGATATTTTTGCTTGCATTTCTTTTCATTTAAGGAATATATTTTGTTTGTTGTCTGCCGTTTAAAGTCGTTATATAGAAATAGGTTTACGTTTTACGATTTACATTTAGATGTACACATATTTTATATATATTTATATATAAATAGTTTTGTTTTGTTTTTTTTTTTTTATGAATAACAACTATTGTATGTATATAATTTCAAAGCTTTTGCATTTTGAAACATTAACTCACAGAGTATTTCCATTATACAATATATAATTTGTTTTTGCTTGGGGTTTAAACATTTAACATTACAACGGCTATGATGACAACGACTGCTGCCTTTTTTGTTTTTACTTTTTAGATACATATTTATAAATAAGTTTTTATAAATGTTTACACAAATTTTAATCTTCTTCTTCTTTATCATCATCAGCTTTCGCTTCTGCCTAGTGTTTCCGCTAGAGCCGGAAACGCAAGCGTTCACATTGTGTGTGTCTGTATATATGTGTGTGTGGGCATAGACTGTGTGTAGGTGTTTATGAGTAGGTCTGAGAGGAGCATAGGTGCGGGTTTCAGCTGAGCACTTGAACATCGGCGGGCAATTTGGTTTCGTTTTGAGTGTCTATGGGCCAATCGGGCCTATATGGCTTTAGATGCCCACAAAGCCGTAGACCTCCAGTACGCGTATCTCAAAGTCACCCGACGGACATAGCGGCGGATTGTTGAAGGTCTTACAGCTGTCCGTCTTGCCAAATCGTATGTTCTCATCCATCCAAATAGCTTGGCCCTCACTGTAAAGTACAATAAGGAAGTTAATCGGGTTTGAAATGTAAAGTTAAAACATAAATAAACTATATATTTGATAAAAACAATAAAAGCTGGTACTGAGTATAAAAATAGAATATAGTGTAAGATCGAAATTCTTAAATTCTATTCAGTTCACATAACAAGATACTTTCACTAACATATATGTGTACAAACTTAACAGTGCGCTAACAGAGCGCTGTTTAGCACAGTCAACTGCTAATAAATCATAAAGTATGTTTACATCAAATTAACAGAGTGAGGCATCTATTGAAAATTTTACATTTACACAATATGGTCTTAATAGAAGTGATTGCTTCACTTAAACCAATTAATAGTGAGAATATATACTTAAGTATAACTGAGATCAGGCACTTCATAGGGTTAACAACGCAATGTTATTGCCACAACTTAACATAGTGTTTACAGAAGCTTAACCCTGTTTCAGTTTTATTTACAGATTCGTTTGGTTGTTTTCGACTTACCCGCCGCCAATTGTTATCATTTTGGAATCAGCTGCCATAAAGAGTTCGGAGCTGTGACCCAGATCGCGATCACCTTCGATGCCCACCCAGGGATACTTGGCTCTCTCGGGATACAGGGAGAACAAGAAGGTTTCGCCGGTGCCAAAGTAGGCCTGCCTCTGGCCCTTGTCATCCTTGACATTGCGCTCAAACCAGCGCGACGAGCAATAGGCGCCAAATACCTGAGTGAAAATAGAATGCAATTAGCAGGGCATTCCAATTATAAAGTCAATTCCCCCTCCCCACCTACCTCATTATTGCACGTTTTGATCATGAGCAGCGTGGGCTCGTGCTGCTCCACGCGCACATAGAAGGTCGTCAGGGAGCAGCCGTGCTCTTCGGTGGTGTAGAGCAGCACCGGTTGGTACATGGTGATTCGCACGGGCAACCAGGACCACAGCGTGAACAGCTGTGAGAGGGAGCAGGGATTATGAGAAAACAAGTTAATAAAGCTCTGTAAGACTAGCTCAGATATATTATTAGGCAAAATTAACTACAATTAACTAGAACTAGAAAAAGGGTAGCATTAGCCAATGTTTAAAACAGTTAAAATAATTATATATATTTATATATATATATATATTTACTCTAAATAAACACACACAAAAAACAATATTAGGCATTTTGGGCGGGGTGGTAGATACAGAGCGATAAACAGGGAGACAGTAAGAGAGAGACAAATGGTAAAGACATATTAACAAGAACATGAACTAAAAGGCCAAAACAAACTAAAAGCCAAGTTAATACATGAATAATACATAAAAAAATGTAATTATATTTTTATTTAAAACTGACAAATCGAAATCTACAAAAATATATAAACGACAAAAAAAAATACAATTCGATTTTTTTTAGCATCTTTTTGCATCGATGCACAGCAGCAGCAGCAGCGGCAGCAGCGCATTTATTGCAGCGGCGCAGTGCATGCTAAACTGTGTGCTATGACTGCCAAACTGTTGGCCTGCCCAACTGTAAATTGCAATGGCTCGATTAATGAATGGTGATTGCGATTTGTGTAGGCTCTATATATGAAGGTTTAGTTTACCAATACAAGGGACGCTCACACACACACACACAAACACACAATTAGAAAGAGAGAGAGTGAGAAAGTGGGTGAGAAAGAGAAAGAGGGGAGAGAGAGAGAGAGAGAGAGAGAGAAATATTGGGATAAAGATTTAGCGCTAATTGGGAAACTTTTGTTTATTTGATTTTGTTAAATTTTCTAATAAAACGGCACAAGATGTAACTGTTTTATTATTGGAATGGGAATTTCATTGGATGGATCATTCACGATTTGTTGTAAAATGTTGGCTCGTAATAGAGATATGTGCTTACAAATTGTCTATCCGTCCAGGTTTTAATGAAATTCGTTGTGCCCGGTAAACCAAAATGCTATGAAAAAAGATGATATATAGCAATGTCAAGATTAGATGCTCCTCGATTTGAATGATCGATTGAAAGTTTGACATGGGATACAGATTTCGGGTTTGGGTTGGGAAGGGGAATAAAACTGGGCGAGGGTAGGGGGGCCCTTCTGCTGCTTAAAACTTTCAAAGACTAAAATAAATTTAACAGAAACAGATAAACTAACTATAAAAACAAGTTGTAAAATAATAGAAAACGCTTAAATATGCTATAATAAGTATAATGCCAAAAAAACTGCAAACTCGATTCTCGCACACATCAGAGCATGCAATGTGGTCTGTGGAGGGAGGGTGAAGCACCTCGCAAAGAGCAGTGTTTGTGGGTGAGAAAAAGAGAAAGACTTTGATTTGAGGTGCAATTTTGATAAGCTTTACATTCCGTTTTCTTGGGTGTGTGCTGTATGTAGTATACTTGCTTTACAATAATACTTTAAAAGAAAACATATGTATATCTATATATATATATATATATATATCAAATGGGGATAACTAGCAAAAAGTTAGCAAAGTGGCGGCGATTCGACTGCTCTCTTCTGGACTTACATCTTCGTTCTTACAGACTTGACTTTTCAGATTGTGTATGGGATAGACACCCATGGCGATGGCTCTATGACCGGGCGACTTTTCGCCCTGTATACACAATGCCATGCACATACACATACACATATAATTATTTAGTTTTATGCACATGATATAGTATAATGTCAGTTTCGAGAGATATGAAATTTCATGTTGATAAAGCGCACGCATGTTATATTTGTTATATTAATACGTTTTTTTTTTTTATATTTATAAGAATTTTGGTTTTTTATTATTTTTTGTGTTTTTTTTTATTTTTGTCATTCAAAGTTTGCCAAGGCAGCGCAAAATACAAGAAAAATAGAAATAACATTTTATATATGATATATTGAAAAAGTTAATATTGATATATAGAACAATTTTTGGCATTAAATTGGGTTTAAATTGTGGCTGTGGATGTTTTTCGTTTTGATTGTGTTCTGTTTTTTATACATTTCTTTTTTTTTTGGCCTTGGAGTGCAAAACAAGTGCGATAACTTAAAATGTTTAATAAAAACTGAACTCAAATGCAACTTTGTGTTTAGCAACGGAAATGGATAAGTAGCTTTTATATATATTGTTGTTGTTGTTTGTGTTGTTGTTGTATGTGTTGTTGTTATGCATTGATTAAAAGTTAGGGCTAGGAAACTCAAGATAAGTTTTTAAAATTGAGTTTTGTTAAGTAGTTTTTTTTTGCAACAAAAAGTAAAACATTCAAAAAACACAACAAAAAGAACTGTTGGCTGTAAAACCGCTATATCATAAGCCGTAAATCCGCTAGAATTTTGAATTATCAGACTGGATAACAATTTAATCCATAGCGTAGCCAATCGTGGAATAAAACGTAAGGAACATATTGCCATATCCTGCGCATGATTTTTGCTAGCTAGAAAGAGCTGAAAACATGCGAAGGACGCGCATTTTAACTCAGAACTCAAAAGTGTTTTTAGTTAATTATTTATGAAAAACAAAACAAGCAGAGTTTGAACATCAGTCAACATTATCATCCTATGGTATATAGTAATATATGAACTATATATATATATATGTATATACGTAATTTATAGCCCCATACCAAATTGCGACAGCTCTCGGAGTGCAGCTTCTGGTTTTGTTTTTCAATTGGATATTTTTTTCAAGTGAGTTGAGTTGAGTTGAATTGTTGTTGTTGTTGATGTTTTTGTTGTTGTGTGAGTTTTGAAAGAACACAAAAACAATAAATCAATAGAGTTTTACAACTGTTTACCATAATTAGTTAAGTTATATAAGTGTGTGCGGTGCTGTGTGGATAAAGAATAACCATTATTTTTGGAGCAGAACCTAAACCTAAGTTGAACTGAAGTCTAGAAAAGAAAACAAATTCGGTTTGGGTGCAGTTCCAAAGACCCTTGAAAACTGTTAAATTGAGTTATGCATGGCTAGTATAGATAGATAGATATTGCCTGGCTGTTTGTGTGGTTCTGAGTGGTTGTGGGTAGTTAAGGGGTTTTATGGGCTTCTAACCGGGGCCAGTCTGTCGTTTACTTACCTCACGTATGGTCAATGTATGTGACATCATTTGGATGTTGACCTGCGACTGACTAGTGGGCAGATTATCACTTGAACGCGATTTAATTAATTGCTTCGAACCGCTATTGAATGCGGATCGGCTTTTTAGTAGCATTTCAGTCTTGATAAATATTCTAGAAATATACTGGGTACTGCAAAATAGAAAGAAGAAAAACATGTCATTAGTAATATTTCAGATGTGCACACAAAGTGCATGCCAATTCAATATTTTCTCATTTGTTAAAGATATATATACATTTAATTAGACATGATTAATAAACACGATATATTATTCGAGAATAGCAAAAATGTATAACAATCTAAATAGCTGAACAGCAGAATCTAAATAGCTGAATGATGACAATGATATATAGTATGATTAGTACTTGGAATTTTCAACTTCATAATTATATTCATATTCCAAAAGGTTTAAAATTAAATTAGGACATGTCGCCAAAAACTTTCTACACCAAAGCATATATTACTTGTATCTTAATCAATATGCAGGGTATTTGCAGGCCTATAGCTAATATTTTCCATTATTGACAATAGTCACAAGATCTGCTAATATAACAATATCGCATTATTAACCTTTGATATATTTAAAATCTAATATGGAAAAGCTAAAATGTGACTTACATAGGGTACCTGCATATTGATATGAAAGTTACAATGAATCTTTATTATGATACACTCTGAGCATAAATTATATGTGCATTGATTCAATATTTGATGAATCATGTTGCACTTAATAATTAGTTTATATTATAATCATCACATGAAGAGTGATGGAAGTGGCCTTACCTGAGTCCCCTAATACTAAAAGCGGCATGGAGCAGCTTAGCCGGAGATACTGGTATCTTTTTGCAGAACTTGATGAGCGCATTGCCAATGTCGTTTTTAATATTATCCGGACTCCATTCGTTGTTCGACTGGCATTCCTTGTGGAAGAGATTGAGTATGACCAGGGCGACGCGATATAGCACCTTGATGCCCTCATGGAAATAGCAATCCATAATTCGCACCAAATGCTGAAAGGGTAGACCAGCTAGTATCCACCAGCACCAGTCCATGAAGACGCGCTCCAGCTTCTGGCTCGGACAGATGCGTTGGAAATACGCAATGGCACTTTTCTAAAATTAGCAAATGCATTTATTTATTTATTTGATTTAACTGGATCCATTTGTTTGCAAACATACTGTGTGCTTTTTGGCTATCTGCATGACCGTCTTCCAGGTGACCTCATGCTGCAGTTTGGTTTGATTTATGAATGTCTTCTCCTTGCTGCCCACAAGCCCGGCCAGGCACAAATAGGCTTCCTCCTCTGCAAAGCAAATTAGTAGAAATTATTGTTAGCACAGATTTTATTATATAACTAGATCTTGTTGCATTGGCAGTAGTTTTTTTTTTCTAATCTACACGGTATTGAATTGCATTTTGCTTGCAAAACTATCTCGGGCTTAATGCGAGGCCTAACCTTAGCGACACAGCCGCAACTCACTCCCCCACCACTCAGCCCTGCTTTCTGCCTCATATGTGCGGCTTGTCTCTAATTTAATTGCACAATTTCAAATTGCAATTTGCACTGCAGTTTCCTGAGCTCGTTCCACAATCCGCGTTCAGCGCATCGTCGCTTGCGGCTGATGAGCTTTGTGTGGTTTGCGGTTTCGGAGTGGTGCAGAGCCTCGAGGGCGTTACCGCAATGACGCAGCACAAAGCACCGCATTCAATAGAGCGAACGCTAGAAATGCACAGAGTGGAAGGAATGTGCTTGACCTTGAAAATACCCTATATGTAGTACATATTGTATCCATAATAAATCACGCGGAACACACAACTCACGTACACAGCTCACATATGCTGACGTTTTGGTGAGCTTTAAGCTCTGTGCACACTCTATAAAGGACGAAAAGCTTAATGGGACAAAGCTTACCAATACATGCATAATTTAAATTACACTTGTGTAAGCTTTGTAAGCTTTAAAGCAAAGAGGAAAAACATGAAGTATTAATAAGAAATATTAACACATATATTTGGAGAATTTATGGAGTCAATGCTGAGGGTCGCTTGAACTAAAGAACTATGTTAATTTGTAGGAAGAGCGACAATTTCTATCAATTGTTGTTGCGAATTTCAACTGTACCTGATAAAAGCCACTTTTAGAATTTTTACTCTAACTTGTAAAACGCATTCCAGTACACCCTTAATTACTTTAAAGACTACAGGGTACACTTATATAAACAGCCAGTTGGCATGTGCCTGCACTTTGACCGCCTTAAGTTTGCAGAGCTAAGCTCCGGGTCGGGTTCTATTGGGCTCCAACCGGCAATTGAGTTTTTATAGCAGCTTTTCGCCACAATTAACTGGCGCACAATTTGTTTATTAAATTAGTCATTGCTGTGCACATATATCGAGTATTTGATTTATAAATTAGCTCAAATTATGCAAAAGTTGCTGGAGACGAGGGCAGAGTCTGCTGCTAAAAATAATACCACAGATATGTATTTTATTTACTTGGTTCTGTTCGGAATTTTTATTTTTGCGTGTCGCAGTTAGGTTTCGTGTGTGGCTCATTAGCAGCGTTAACTGTTTACAAAACTGATTACAAATAATAACAACAAAATACTTAATAAACATTTTGTGTAGCATTTAAAATGCAATTGCCATTGGGCGGGGGCGGCTTTTTTAATATACTTCTGAATGCTTCTATGCTATGTATTTTTTTGTTGGCTCGCCCAATTAGCGATCGAGGACTTTAAATGCCATTTAGATACGGTTTTATCGTTTACAGTGGCTTACATAAGTAAGTGCCAGTTGCATTGATTTGCACATAAACAAAGAGCGTGTCGCACATGTGTGCAGCAGCTCGCTTTTAGCTGTTATCAGCAGCGGGCTTATCAGCTTTTAAGTACGGTTCGTGGCGGTTCATCGCGGCCTAAGGCGGTTTGACTTAGTTTATGATTGCCCTTAATAGTTATTTAATTGTTTCAAATGTTATCAATTGTTTTGACAGACTGCAAAAGTTCAAAGATACGCAACACACAGGCGTAGGACGCAGCTCGTATCTCTGAAATGTATCTGTATCTTTGCATGTGTGGGTGTATCTACATGCTGCGGCTTATCGCTTGCGGAAACCTACAATTTCTGATAAGCGAAATCTCGCTGCACTATTTGCATAGCGTATTTTTATCATTAAATATTTGATTTGAGTTCTATTTAAAGCACGGCATTTGTTTCTGCTGGTCTTCTGAGAATATCGCTGCGTTTGCTTCATAAATAACCAAAACTAAGTAATTAGTTAATAATAATTAATCGAACACTAATTGCTCTGCTTGTCTGTAAATAGTTAACAGCTGCAATAAGACAATTGCCTGGCCTGCTGCTTAAGTGTGTGGGGTAAGGGAAACTTTCATTTTATGACACCAATTAAACCGATAACCAACAGCAGGAGCAATAATAATAAAAGATTTAATAAAACTGGCTTAAGAAATCGCAGCCCGGTTCACGTTTCGATTTGACGTCAATATTCACGTGTCCATGTCGTCGCCTATGAATTTGTTGTTGCAGAGGTTTTCACTCATTCAATCATTTGTACAGATAACTTTGATGTACTGCAGCCGAGCTGCCTTTCAACATTTCTGGTCTAAATTCATCATGCTTTGGCTTTGGACACAAAACAGCAGGCCGCAAGCAACAAAAAATAACTAAAAACATAAACAATGTTTTAAATACCAAAATAGACGCGACGCGTGTAAACAACATTTAAATGAAAGCTACAGAAATATTTTTTTTTTAACAAATTTTTTCTCTCGCAAACGCTAATTGAGCTGCGGCAGCGCCATGTGGAAATTGCAATGCCCTTTAAAAAGTAAACGAAACGGCAGCCGCTGAACTTGAAACGCGTGAAATAGCTCAAAGTCGCGTTTTATACTAATTTTTACAATTTTCACAATTTCAATGCGAAACAGTTAAAAGTTTGAGAAAATTACAAGCAAAATATATTTATATAAATAATTATTATTTAGATGGGAAGTGCGAACGAGTTTTGACTAAATAATTATTTACCATCGCATGCAAGTCATTAACAGGCATTCAATAGAGCCTAAAAATAAGATTTTACTGAATTACTGAATGTGTACCAAACATATGTATATGTCTGTCTGTCTGGTAACAGCAGTTCCAGCTTAGAAATGTAACTACTTGATGTCTAGTTGACATTGCAAATTCAGTCACGCACAGTAAACATGGATATAAATAGAAGAAAGCACAAGACGCATTCGCCCCTTAGCTGCATTAGAAAGAGCTTTTGCGCACGCACACAAGCGTGAAGACGAGCACGTGCTTGTATTAGTGAGCTTTGGTTTCTATGCTCGACATTCATGAATATGCAAATGCTGAAAAAAGTATCACCATTGAAGCCGAGCACTGGGCAAGTTTTTGGTGCGTCAAGTCGAATGATTCTCTTTCTGTATTTTATATCGCGGAGCACGTAATTCTTAAGTGCTTATTTATAGAGCGGCGGTTAGGTAAGTAGGGGGTGGATTTGAGCGCGTCCATATAAAAGCCGTGCAAAAACAAATAGGCAAAGCTCGACAATGTTTGGGTAGTTCATAGACAGAAAAACAGAATAACAAACAGCCATAAAATAAAAGCAAACCCAAAGATGATATATAAAAAGTGCGCATTTGTTTGGCTTCGCTGCGTTCGGGATTCGGATACGGGCTGGGGAGTGCGGGCATCTACATGCGAATGCGAATGCGAATGCGAATGGCTTTGCCCAATTGTATTTTATGTCAATTTTATGCTCACGTGTCGGCGTCATAAGCGACAATTGCTGAAATACGACGTTTACTAAAAATAAACTACTATTATAATTCTAGATCTAAGGCAATGTGGATGTAGATCTATAAATGTATGTCACATGCCGCAACTACAGTGCTCATACGCTAACATCAACTTAACAGCTCGTGGGCTAAGTCTAAATATCAATTTACGTTTTGATTATTGATTCAAATAAAATAAATAAAAATATTTATATATTTAAGTGTTGTAAAACAAACGAATAGGGATTCGTTTTGTGAAGATCATTAATTCTGTTAACTAAATGTTAATAAGCAGAGAAAAAATAAATGAAAATAAATGGCCATAAATGGTCGAAATTAGAGATTTTTGGAGATTTTGAATCCTAGATAATAATATATAAAATATTCGTATATTCTCAATAAATTAATAGCATTAAAATTGTGGCTTAAATTTACACTAATTGAGTAACCACTGTACTTCAAAATTTGTAGTCTTGTGCCGTGGATCTGTTACTTTTATTCAAGTGGCAAAAACAAAAAGAAGAAATAAATAAAAAGAATTTGCATAAAATTTAACGCAGACAACAGCCAACGACCAGTCAATGACGTCAACAAGATGTCGACAAGCAATACAAAGTGTCAATATGGACTTGGTATGTATAGTATGTATTTGATTGTACATACATGTGTGTACACGAATGTATGTAAGCATCGCGTACATTTTTTATACATTGTTTATGTGCGACTTTTGAACTTGAAATGCACGAAATGCTGATTGAAAATGCAGCTCAAATTTTATAGCCATTTTTTAATTTGTTCCTTCTTTATTTAATATTTTTAAAATTCATATTTTTCCTAACTGAAATGTTGATGTGTAATGTTTTATTTTATTTTTTTTTTTTTATAGGATGCTCTCTGCGACCTTCGACGTTTGTGTGCACAAAGTTTATACAATCGTAATTTCATTTCTCAATTTCATTTGTTTCGCGTAAACAATGGACCTTTGTACCCTATGTCATGGGGGGAGGGCGAGAACTATTTATAGCCACTGTGGCGACTACCTTGAATCTGAAACTGGCCCGGAATCGCAATCTCCAGACGCTACAGTAATTTTTGCGCCGTGTAAACAAACCTCCAAAACTGGAAGACCGAGACAAGCAGACAGAAAACAAATGGAGAATAAAATGTTGTCGACTTTAAAAGTCGACCTCTTTCCGTTCCGCTCGGACTGTGGCTTATCAGGCGCAGCTTTATCAGCTGCAGGCCGGCTATGGGCAGGCGGTAGGTCTGCCTAGGAGGTGTGTGGGAGGCAGGGCAGAGCTGTCATGTGCCTCTCAAGCAGCGTCGCATATTGATCGCAAGCGTCAACCATCTATTGGTTGCACTTTGCGGACATTCTACGAACAGCTATAGGTATATTTTCCCAGATAATACATATTCTAAATTGTGTGCGCCACACACTTGAACCCAGATGGAAATCGATTAATTGTCTTGTTGTTTCACAGCTTCTTAATCATAAAAACCCATATAGTAATTTCACAAATGGGGGTGTTCAGAGTTCAGCCTTTGAGATTAACTGATTACGAGCCCCTATATGCCCCTCCATGTGTCCTGCTTGATAATGCGGCTAATGCTGAGCCACACATGAACCACATTTTGGGGTTACAGAATGGAGGCCATGCAGCTGTCATCTCTAATCTAAGGCAGGTGATTGTCACATGAGAGAGCTGCGGAAATCTGAATAAAGCTGACAATTAAATTAAATGCGAGAACTTTTCCGCTTTCAAATGTGTTTCTTTTTTCCTCTCCACAATTCACATATTTTCATGTTGTGTGAACCTTTTAACAGAGATTAATGGATTGAGTGTTGAAACAATCTCTCATCTATAATCATTATTGGCAAGTTTATCTAGAGACGAGACCGAAACGGAGCCGGGTAAAACTAACAATAATACAAAAACTACTTATAGTTGGAAGGAATCGGATTACGGTTCCTGCTAGTTAATCAGTTAACTGCAACTCCCAACTCTAATTGACACTTATATTATATTTGCTTGGGACATGCAGCTTCGATTCCCTCATTAGTATAGAATGTTAATTTGTTAAGCTTTTACATTTTGAAATGTATATAAAGCTAAGTTAAAACGAATTCCCACATTTATATAGGTTAAACATCTATGGAGTAATATTAATAAACAAATTCCCATTAAAATATATCACTAAAAAATGTTTATTTATTTATGACAAGCGATTACAGATTTAAATGTTTCTCTTCAAGCCGATTGATTAGTCTGTTAAAAGGCAGCTCTAACAGTCTCTGCCCAAATGTCGCCGGATAAATCCAATTTTAAACCGCTTAAAAATATAAATTGATTGGAATGAAGCTAATTAATTGGCGGTTGATTCACAACAGAAGCAAGAACAACAATTGAGTTAAGAGACCCGATGCCAGACACACATTTCTGATAACAAGGGCGGAAACTAGTTTACAACTAAATATGTTAGTATTTAGATATGTGTGTGTGTGTGTATATAATTCTTGCTATTAACGAAAGAGAAGTGACAACAGAGAAACTAGAACACTTAAGTAAATTATTGTTTTATAATGTTTTCGTAACGAGCAAAGAGTTGGGGAATAACACTCATGAGCTGGCCGGAATGAAAGCTGGGTTAGCTTTAAAAGGCAACACTTAAATGCAAGTGCAATTAGGGCTCGTTATATGTATTGCAATTAAAGAAAATCTCCAGTAATTAAAAACTGTTCTTCTTTTTCAAAACTTGTGGAAGAAAGTTTTTAAGAACATTACGCGAAATTACCTTAAAATTTGATCTTATAATTCTCAAGTGGTTATAAGTTTTAAACTGAGGACAAGGCCCTGCAAGTCTAGACCCAATACCAAAGTGCGCTAATGATAGAACCGGAAGATTATTGAATTGGTTATAAATGCAATTTTCCCTTGGTGTTTATACCCTATTTTTGGTGTAGGAGGTAAATGTAAAGCAAGGGCTTAATATGTTGGCAATTTTATGAGTGGCGAAATGTGGATGGGACTAGAAATAGACAACAGTTCCCTTGAGCAAATAGATTACGGAAGCAAACTCAACACTGCTTAGAAAAATAGGCTTCTGAAAAATCAACGCTAAATATTGAAATTCTCAAGCCCACCTCAACTCAGGAAATAGAGCTAAAAGAAGAGCTCACGGCCCAGTAGAAAATGGGCCCAAAAGGTCACGCATGCTTACCTTTACAATACACAAGTAAATATAAATATATGTACACACATTTCACATGCTTGCAAGGGCCGAGCCGAGTGTCTTATTGAATTGAGTGTATTTGAAATGGTTAAAATTGTTGGCTCATTGCCTGTTGGCCAAAGCAATTAGCTTGAAAAATCACGATACATCAATTTGCGCCCAGTTGTGATTTACTTCGGACAGCGATTTACAATTGTGCCAATTACTCAAATATATATTTTGTTTGTTTGGGCGACAAAATATAAATATAAATATATTCAGAAATAATGAAAAAAACAAATATCGAACAAACTGAAACTGAGTGAGTGGCTGCGACTCGAAGTGCGTAAAGCACGTAATTTATGATAATATATACATATGTAGAAAACGGAACACAATCGAGGAACGGAACCTCCAAGTCATAAATCGTTTAGGGTGTGTGTCACGTGAGTTTCTTTTTATACATTTATAGAGGGTATTACGAAGTTGTCACGAAATGTGTAACTTGGCTTGACCAGAAGCAAAGGCGTTTCCGGATGGATCACTATATCACATAAGTTTTTTGTGCTCAAAAGGGAGCTTGGGCAAGTATTAACATGCTCCTTACTTATGAACATCTTAGGTATTTTATTAATATCTGCACATATGAGTGTTTTTCTAAGCTTTAATATATTTAGCCCGAGCTCGACCGATACAATCTCACATATTTGGAAAGCCTTGGCATTCAATATAACTACTCAGTCTTGTATTTGATTTCATGGAAAAAATGTAGCACTTACCCGACATGAAATGCAAAAGTAACGATGTAATCGGATACAATACTGGACTGTAGGTAATGTCGGGACAATCATAGCCCAAAACATTCACGATGCGATCGGCAACAGCGCGTCCCGTGCTGGTCAAATGATACGGCAAGCAATGTGTGGCATCCACAAAGGCGGGCAGCATGATGGGCTTATCCGACAGTTCCGTGGTGCCAAAGACCTGTAAAATAATTATATATACCATATAAGTACTTGGGTTTATTATCTGGTTGACTTTAGACACTCACCTGATGCACCATCTCCCAGTAGAAGCCATCGAGCATGTTCTGCTTAGTCAAATGCTGGGCGCACAGTGCTGGCCACAATTGGGAGCGTATCGGCGAGTTAATTGGCCACGAGTTCTCCCTGAGTATACTCTTGACATCGCGCTTCTTGCCCTGCTGCAGCAGCTGTTGGATTTCGGTGAACGAGCGCAGCGCCGGCTCTTTGCCTGGAAGAGCAAACAACATGCGAAGGCAAACAAAATAATTATTTAGTCTCAAGTCAAGTGAATGTGGCTTAGGATAGGTCATGCGGCCCATTTGTTTAACAATAAATTAAGCTAAAAACAATATTTTAAATGGCAACTGTTCGACTAGTCGATGCCCTTTAGCGTACATAAGCCTATATATTTTCGATATCTATTCGACTAATTAATACCCTGTAGCGTATATATACTTATACATAATTCTGACAACCTTTCTAGCTTGAAATATGTAAGCATAATAATAATATTAATTAATTCAAATATTACTTAAGAGTCTAGAACTATACTGATTTATCGAGATATGGTAATGCAAATTATATATGCTATAAACGTGATATGTATAATCAATGATATATGTATAATCAATATAAATATATATATAATTTGGTATAGATAAATCTGCATATATCCCTAGTTATAAGGGGCACAACAGTTCTGCAAACAATAAAGAATTGTTAAACGAATTTAGAAAAGAAGTTATATGCACCTCTCCCTTCTGTTACATGCATATCCACGATTTGACTGTGCCCGCTTGCCCAGTTTTAAGCATATAGTGTATGCGAATAGAAGACTAACGTGCTGAACGAACGTGCACATTGTAAATCATGCAACAGCACAGTTGTACAAGTATAAGCATCTATTTATAGTATATAATAAAGTTTATGATACAGTAAACGCTTGTTGGTCAGTTGAAGTGGGCGTCTGATAAGTTGGCCAGTTGCAGCCGCCGTTTGGCAGGCCCACTTAAGACCCTGCATGACATTATGATTGATAAGAAATAAATGCTCAAATGCTTGCCCCAAACAGTTGCCCTGAAGTCGCCGCAAACCAATTGAACTTGCAGCTGGAGGCCGCAAAAAATTGAAGCCGAGTGAATTTTGTTATAGAAATAAGTCGACTTGAGCTTCAGATAAGTACGTAAATTTTGTCAGCAAGAACGCAAATATTACTCATACGTCAGAGTGGCAAATAAAATACTTGAGTTTTGCAATTAATGTGAGTGTGTGCGAGTGTGCATGTGCGTGTGTGTGTTTATTGCAGTACGTGATAAGCTTTATTGATAGATGCTTGTTCTACATATACATAGATAGTTGATTTTAAATGTCCGTTGGGGCTGGGGCATGTAATTAAAATTGAATTGCATCGATAAGAGAAATGCAACATTGACAGATATCGCTTGAAAGTTAAATATATAAGGTAAATGTGTACGTAGGTGCATTATTTTATATATTATATATATATATGTTTTATGGCTCTTGCAGATAGCAAGTAATAAAAATTGAAAAGCAAATAAATTTGAGGGTAAATATTAATTTAAATTGATATGAAACTGGAAGTGCTTTTTCTGTGTATTTTTTATTGTGGAAGTTGAATTACTTTATCTGTCTGTTTCAACATGCCCTTATCATGTTCTATTCAAATATAATTCGTATTCGATATACACAGCTTTGGTCGAGTTTTCTGGTCAACTTATCAACGCACAGGAAGCTAAAATGTTGACTGTAATTACCTTATGTGATGAAGGCCCGCGTTAAGTCGGGGTTTCTGGAAATATTACTCGAATGTGTGGAAAAATCGCAAAATGGTTTTGTTTGAAACATTTTTGCTAGCCATCAATTGCACCAAGGCACTTCAAAGATTTTTCGGCCGAAGTTTTAAGGTGCCTCTTTCTGCATACATGCATACATGTATGCATGTTTGTTTTACATATATGCAAGCATGCATGCATGCGTACATGTATAAATACATGCACACAAATATACATACACACATGCATACATACATACACGCATGCATACATACATACACACATGCATACATACATACATACATGCATACATACATACATACACACATCCATACATACATTTACACATGCATACATACATACACACATGCATACATACATTCATTCAAAAAAACAGCAAAATAAAAAAAACACTTCACTAGTAGCTTAGCATGGAAACCTGCAGAGCCTACTTAAATTCTTGAGAATCGAGGAGTAGAGCACTTGGTAGAAAAACACAAAACACGAACACCCACACACATAAATGTGTTTATGTGCTTTCCAACAAAATGCTAGTAGAAATATAAAATAAACTACTGATTTAATACAAGGGTTTTATGTATTAAGCATATTCAATGCTAGAAATTGAGACTCGCATGAGAATAGTATTTAAAAAAGTTTAAGCGATTTACATAATCACGTTACAGAACACTGATATCGATGACATATTGATATGCAGCTGTTAAGAGAATGGCCAAATATTAACGGTTCACTATTTCAATATTATATAAAATTGGAATTAAGCGCCCCACAGGCGGATACAAATATGACAAACTGACAGCTGTAGATCGAATGTTGGTCGGCATTTTGGAGCATTTTGTGCTTGGCTACGTAATAGAAACAAACTTATCGCTGGTCAGCTGCTTCTTCAAGGAGAAGCCCCTTGTGATCCCCCTCATAGTCAGCTCATTGACGACATTGCTGAAGTACAAGACACTTGAATATACGGTGAAAGGGGGTGAGGCGTTGGAGTTATTCGAAATGGAGCTGCCATATTGATTAGGTATCGGGGCGGCGGGTAATTGATTGTGCATCGGGTACATGGCCCATTACCTGGCTAGCCGACAGCTGATCGATTTTTGCATGCCAGTCGCTCGTCTGCTTATCGCAGGCGTTCGATTTATTTGCTATTCGTTGTTATTATTGGCGCACAGATAAGCGACCAACTCAGCGCCAGTCATTGGGCTAACTTGTTCATTTTAACGAATCACAACAGATACAACAAATTACAATCAGCTCTGTTGCCTATAGATATCAAAACCTGTAATTGCTCAAGAAAGGGTATTCTCGTTTAGGGCAGCAGGGAGCTGTGAGGCGAGCAACTGCATTCCTAATTATCGAAAGTTCACTTTGTTTGAAAGCTATCGATAAGTATCGATTATCAACTGGCAACTAGAGTCTTCTAATTTAGTACACGCCCTCTTGTACACACCTATTGAGAATATAACACTTTTTCTTAAGTCCTGGGCCTTGGTTTGCACATACATTCCCTGAAAATTTTATAAGAATCGAACAGTTAACAAGCAAGTTATTTGAGAAAGTTGGGCTCAGGGCATGAGAAGCACAACTGCTGTTACAGGGTATCTGCTGGCCGGCTACTCTACACAAGAAGAACTTTGTTGTTTTCTATACTGCGCCTTGAAAACAATATTTTTCATTAGATTATAATTTAACCAAAATTGTGTTGTGAGTCTCCGCTGCAAATATCAAGTGACGCGAGAATGATATAGTTCTGGCTTTGAGAAAGCGCATGGGATGGTCGCGGACGGGGTCGGGGGCCGTTTTGGGGGGTGCCGAGTGTTGTAAATGCAATAACAATAAAAACTGGTATAAACGAATGAGACTCGTTTGCATTTGCGGCGCATGTATGTGTGTGTATGTATTGTCTGTGTGGGTGTGTGTGTGTGTGTGTGTGTGTTAAGCGTGTGTAATTAATCTCCGTTCATTTGCATTTGGACGATTCGCGATATGACAATGTTTAGAAAAAAAAAGTGAACTCAACCACAAGCATATTAATGCATAGACTACACACACACACACACACACACACATAGACACACACACACACATAGACAGACACATTTCTATCAAACTAAATATGCATATATGTATCTTTTGATTCAAAACGACTTTTGCTGTGGTTATTTTCCAATCGACGACATCAACTTCATTCAACTGGAAATTAAATCATTTTTTGTTTTTGCTGTTTTCAATTAAATCCATTGAAAATCAGTGATATATACACAAAGCACTTCATAATCAGCTGGCTGGCAATAACTAATTTATGAAACGCTTTTAAAATGTTGCATAAATTCTCAAATTGCCATGTTAAATTATAATACAAAACGCAATCAGTTTTATTGACAATAAACAGTTGAACAATAAAAAGAAATTAAACGTGAATTAAGGTTTAAAGCAATTAAATGTGAAGTGCCGAATTGGGATTAAGCACGAGGATGGATGATTTATATGCTAAAATTATAAACTCAACCGAAGAGTCGCTGGACTTGTAATAATTATAAAAGGTTCAAATAACAATAAAAAAAAATATCCTAATTCTTATAAGGAGGTAATTTAACAACTAATTCAACTTTTTGAATTAAATTATTAAAACATCACGAATAAATACAGAAATTAATTGGGAAGTAGGTCGAAATTTGTTAAAGAAAGTCAAAAGAGCTCTCTAATTGGCTAATAAATTAATTAAAATTAAAATATATACATGTCAATTTGTATATATGTATTTATATGATATATTTTATCATATGTATACAAATGATATATTTATCATATATCATAGCATTAAATTAACCAAAAATAAATTGTACTAATTAATTCTTAAAATTACCTATTTGACTGAATATGAAAATAAATTGAATCTATATTCCGTGTATTCCTCTTGCACTTAACCCTCTTTAAAAGTTTACAATCTATATATTCCCTATATTCCTCTTCAACTAAACACTCTCGAATAGGCTTTAACGCTTTTGAACTTAACTTTAGGCGCAAAAACAAGTAACTGTCATTTAAATAAGTCTAATGTTAGTTGTTAACATTTGTTGAGACTCGGCTCATTAGGTTATTGAATGAGATTTGACAAAGCTGTTGAAAAATCAATAAAAACTGACAAGTTTTGCCCCCGACTTGAGTGAAAGCTAAAAATAAAGCTTAAAATAAAAATACTAAAACGGCATTTAAAGTTTTAACAATTTATGATGTTTACACTCGAAATTAGTTAGGTTTATTAGCATTTTTTTCTCGTTCTTGTTGTTGTCGTTGTCGTTGTCGTGTTTGGCATTGTTTGTCTTGCTAATGCTGCTAATGTTTTGGGGTTCTGTTAGGAGAGTTTATTACCTGGACTGAACTGCCAGCACTGGCATTTCGTTGTTATATCATT